CTTTAATGCCGATAGACGTCCTTGTACGTCAATAACATGAGGGGGTGTAGTATAATTGTTATTTTCTTTTTTATTCATGGCAATATAACATTCTAGATAGTTTAAACAACTTCTCTTTTCATCTCTCTAACATATATAATATTGTCAAAGACTAAAAATACAGTATATAGGTAGAAACAAGATAGATAAATCATGATAAGGTAGATCATGATAACATGATAGAAGTCTATCTTTTGCTTCGCCAAGTCCGTGTAGTTAAAAAAAGTGGTTAGTTTCTTTACAATAGACGCTCCATTGCTTTATGCTGCTTTATTTTACTAAATACTACTTCTATCAAAGGATGAACATCCCATTAAGGCTGCAAGCAAGTTTCAAGTCTTGCAGAACAAGAACTTGAGAGACATGAATTGCTAAAGTAGTACCAATAAGAAGTTATCTTTATTCCAAAATTAATTTCGACATTAAAGGGTTAAGATGTGCTATCATTTCCTTCAGAGGTACTTGCTCGTCTTTTCATAGACCAAATCATTCATCCATCAACATTGACCTTGCCCTTTCTGAGGGTCAAGTCTTACATTAAATTTTTTCAATACTATTACATAATAATAAATAGCAATGCCACATACATACACACACGCACACACATGTATATAACATTATTTTAATTCCATAATTCATTTTTTTTCATAATTTATTATCTTAGACATTAAAAAAGTAAGAACACCAAATTTACTGTACTCACCACAAGGTCTCATAAGTTGGTTAAGCTGAGACCTAAACGTCATCTTACAAAGGGAGAGAAGAACAAAACAAGAGGTAGAAACTGAAGAGAGTGACAAGAGAGTAGTGAAGAGCAGCTGGAGCGAAGTACGGTATTATGTGCAAACCCTAACTGCACATGCGAGAAGATTTGACAAATTGCGTGGGAAGTAGTAAAACAAATTACATCGTCAACGAAGGGTAGCGCAATGCAGCTACTCAGCTTTTTTATTGCCTTATACTATATGCTATGTCATTCACTCATAAGACATACAATATACATGTAATAAGCACGTTTTATTGGACATAACGTGAGATAAGAGACACTTTCTACCAGCAAAATGAAGGAATTGCAAGGCAAAATGGCTGGTGTCGAACCCAGTGGCCAAATTAATTACTATGATCAATGGTGGAGTCACATATACATGTACATACAAAGCCTAATTAACACATAAATTACCACTTATAAATTACTATATACTGGTTATTTTCAGGGTAAAATATTTTTTCAAATTTTGTGTTACTTTGTTCCGTTATGAAATTCTGCATCTCTAATATTCACAAAAATTTATTCATTAAAATCTTAGAAATGTAGGATTCACACATATATTTCACCACAAAAATAAACCAGTATATGGTACAACACACACAATAATAGACTGTGTATGCAGTACCACGCAGACAAAAATGTTAAAATATGACTCAGATGCACATTTTGCAATCACCTTAAGATTTGGAAAGGATCATAGACTATTCTTTTTAAATATTGAAAATGCAAGGTTAAGGGCCCCACTCCTTAACTTCAAATATGACATGTTACCCCCAACATGCAGCATGTAGCACAATCATACATGTATAGAATAATATCTAACTTATACAAGAAACAATTTAAAATATTAAAGGGCTCAGCTTAAATATTTATAGATGCTGGAAAAGTAGAATGTCCACTTTATGTTGCTACTAGTAAACTCCTGACTTGTTTGTTTCTTTTTAACTTATATTAAAGTTACCTTTTTAATATTAGGATAATTTATGGCACCAATCTGTACTGCATTATAACCATCTCTTTCTTCTCTTTTAACCATAACAACTTCATTATCTAATACCTACAAATGAAAGAACACAATGAGACACAATCATACAGTAACTATTAATTCCAAGAGTACAAACAAGAACAGACTAAAGCTACTCCGTCATTACTCTACTTTTGTGTAGAGTAGAAGACAATAAAAACTTTGTGTTCCGTTTACGTATGAACAACGTTCCAAGCATTGCACAACTTGCCTCGACTGTTCCCTTCCTGAATCTTTCTGTATGTTCCTGACATTCTCTCAAGGAGTCAGGCTTCTTAGATACATGTACCATTAAAGAATGGCTTCAAACCAAGGTTGATGATTTAAAAAGGTATATATATATATAAATATACATGTATATATACACACTGTATATATAAATATAAGTTGCCAGCTTATACTACATGCATTTGTTATCTCCCTCCACCTTATTCTCATTTTACATGATTTAATAGGAAAGCAAGAAGTAGTCACACGACAAGATTCTAAACCTTTCCCTGCTGTCCACCCCAACGACTGTAGGCTGGGGAATGGCTTGGCTTGCAACACTACATGCAATAGGTCTTCTTGACAAAAATTAAATACACCACTATCTATAGGCTTGGAACTTTCTGGGTTTTACCCGTGAAGGCCCAAAAATTCCCCTCCGAAAGAAACCTGAAATAACTGGGTTTAACCCCGTTTTTACCTCTTAATTCCTTATTCATCATTAGAAAACCAAACCTTAAAGGGTGTGGTTTTATCAAAATTAATTATGGCCACAGCAGCATGTGCTACTGCTGGAAGATCAGGAAGAAGTGGACAGAAGAGAAAAGCAGCTAAGGATTGGGTACTTGATTACCCTGATGATTTGCAAATCATGATGAAAATGTCTAAAGGAGGAGCTGAAGAATCTAGTCACGTTTTAGTCTGTCGTTTTTGCTCCATTGAGCTGCCCACAGATCCAAAAAAGAAGCTATGGGATCGTATCAACGTGCACCTTTCATCAGCGAGGCATAAAAGGCTTAAGGAGAGCTACAAGGAAAGGTCAGACAAGAAGAACCAAGTCAGTTTATATGAAAGTGTTGTACGACAGAAAGAGAAAGAAAAGGAAGCAGAGGGAGCCATTCATGATTCTGTGAGAGCTCTTTGTTATTCTGCTGTGAGTCTCAACCAAGCTGATGGCTACTTGGGCAAACTTTTTAAGAAGTATTGCCAAGCTGCTCGTACAATGCCTGGACAAAGGCAGTAGAAGCAAAATATCTACCAGAAGTGTATGCTCATCATAAGTTTAGCATTGTCAATATGAAGGATGAAAAGATTTCTGCTATTATTAACAAATCACCTGATGTTCTTGGTTGGCCAGCTGTCAATACACTCTTTTGCTTTTTCAACATAGTAACAGGATCAATAAATATATTTCTGGTTGATACGTCCATTTTAAAGGCTGTTAATAGCACATCACTTTCACCTTCTCTTAGGGCAGATCCTTTAAGATTTTAGTAAAGACTGGAGTGATTTGTTAGCGATCAGCAGTGATTCAGCTGAGTATATGAATAAACTAGTGAGAGATACAGAGCAATCGCATTGTGCACAACTGCTTCACATTAAAGACAAAGCCCACCTTGTGCATGTCACCATTGATTACTCTATTCATTCTCAGCCAATGAATGATGTTCACAAAGTAGTCACTCAATTTGGAGCTGTCTTTAAACATGCTGCAAAGAGAGAGCGTTTGTTTCATGATATCTGTCGACGTAATAATTTAGCAGATGAGGAAAGTCAAAAACCTCCTTCTGTAACTCCTACAAGATGGTTTTCCTTTTATAAAAGTGCTGTTGCTGTTCGCCATCTCTGGTCTGTTCTCTTATCTTTCATTGATGACAGTGAAAGCTCAGGAGAAAAGATCAATGAGCTACGTATGCTCATTGGTGATCAGAAGAATAGACAAATGCTATTGGTGAAGCATAAACATCTCATTGAAACACTAGCTCCCATTCATGCCTTGCAAGAGGTTCTTGAATCTTCTAAGCCTATGCTACATCAAATGTATCATTTGGTGAACGTTAGATTAAAGGTACAATTTTCTGCTAAACTAACAGATGAGCCTCAGTTAGATGCTAATACAACTATGGTTTTGTCTATGCTAAGTGTGGCTGATACATCTCTTGTAAAAGCAGACCTAGTAGGTTTCAACAAGTCATTAGGTGAAAAATGGCAAGCTACTTGTGCTAGAAATTTAAGAGAAGATGTTTGTGGCTCAGAGGGACTGTGGAAGAAAGCAGTAGTTTTGGATCCTTTTTTGAAACTTTCTCAGTCACAGGACTTCATGTCATAATTTCTTTGGCCTTGTTGATGGTGATATTACTTAGAAAGATGAATTTGATCAGTATATAGGTGAGCCAATTCCTGACAATCCAGAGCTTCAAACGTTTGACTTTTGGAAAGCTGCCATTGCAAGATTTCTGAATTTATCACCTAAAGTACTCCAGTTACTAACCATCGCCAATGGTAGTTGTGAAGTGGAACAATCATTTAGTAAACTAAGGAACTTACAAAATCCTTCTCGCTCATTAATGAGCTATGATACATTAAAACAAACGACACTATATGTTAATCAAGATATTGATGATCATTTTCTTAGTTACGGTTGATCATTTTCTTAGTTATGGTTGATCATTTTCTTAGTTATGACTTAGTTAACAGGATAAGAGAGCTGGATGGCTCCACTAAAGCTGCTAAAGATAGCTGATTAGCTGCTGAACACTGTAATTGCATAAACACGTGGTCAATCACCATAGCAACTATCTAAACCATTTCCATGGAAATTCTTATTAGCATTTGGGAAAATTAATCGTCCTACAGTATTAAAAATAATAACAATTAAACCAGGGATATAATAGACTACATAACCGGGATTGGCAATGGGATCATGTGAGCGCATCATTTGTGTATAAAGTAGTGGTGTTCGATACCAAGAATTTTGAATTCGGTTCGATTCCGAGTACTTCTCATGCCAGTATCGAAAGTATCGAGTACGATTCCGAGTACTCGTGGTCAGCTTGAGGAAATAATTTTCTGTATCTTTATGACAAACAGAAAACAAGGTATAAATGTATATACTATATGATAATGATAATGTCTAGATCTAATAGAGTCTATGTTCTTTTAGAAGTCACTGAGCTAGATCTAGACTAGTTTGATGTTGTGGTTCAGAAAAAGAATCATGTCGATGTTCTTGGGCTTTATGCGGTTCCTTCTCTCTGACACTAGCTGCCCTGCTTTAGAAAAGAGCCTTTCAGATGGAACTGAACTACCAGGGATACACAGATATTTTGCGGCTATCTTACTCAACCTCGGAAAACGAATTGCATTGGCTTTCCACCATTCTAATGGATTAAAGCTCCTCTCTATATTCGGTTCCTCAAAGTACCTTCTTATTTCTATAATGCACTCAGTTGCTGGAGTTCTGTGAGATGTTGATTGAGCTACTTTCTCATCAAAGGAGCTCCACAAACTGGATGATGTGACATGGGCATCGGATTCAGATTGGTCATCTGGCAAACTGTCAGCAGTGGTGGGAAGGGCTGCCATTTCTCCAACTATCCGATTTGTAGTTTGCTCAATATATGTTGAGGAAGAGAATGGGATTTTTTTAAATCTGGGATCAAGTAGCGCTGTTGCACTAGTCACATACGATGTTTCTAGTGAAGAGAATCGTCGGTGTATTTCATCAGCTAAGATCTTAGCTAATGTTGAGGATGACTGCTGTGATGAAGACTGTTGATGAAGTAATTTCTTCAGTGGCAATATCATTGAAACTGATACGTAGTGATCTCCAGAGATGTTTTCTGTTGCTTCCAGAAATGGCGCTAAAACACTGTTGGCATGAGAAATTTTTGTGACTTCATCGGTAGAAAGGCAGAGATCATTATGGCCAAGAAAGCACAAAGCTGCAGTAATAGCCTCATGTTGTTTCACATACCTTTCAAACATGAGATAAGTAGAGTTCCATCTTGTGCAGACTTCCTGTACCAGCTTGTGCTCTGGTGCTTCAAGCTGCTTCTGCACGTTCCTTAATCTATCACTGGACTTAGCACTCCTGTGGAAGTGTGAAACGATATCCTTACACTTATTTTTGATGATGTAAAGGTCTTCATCTGCTTTCATGGCATCTTGTACCACAAGACTGAGGGAATGCGCAAAGCATGGTAAATGCCTCCAACCAGTTTCCCGAATTGCTGCAACCATGTTGCTGGCATTATCAGTAACAGCGCAGATGATTTTACCATTGATATTCCAGCCAGTGGTCACTCGATTCAGTTCAGCTGCTATATGAGAAGCAGTGTGCTCTGTGTTGAATTCAAAAGTCTCTAGTAAGACTGATTTGAGTTCCCATGCAGGAGTGATGTAATGTGCTGTTACACAACAATAAGATTTCGTTTGAAGAGAAGTCCAAATATCTGTAGTGACAGCAATGTGAGTAGCAGATTTGTCAAGCTCTGTTTGTAGCTTTGCTTTGACTTCACTGTAAAGCTCTGGCAGGCGTCTTGTAATAGTAGGTCTGCTTGGTAGTACATACCTTTTATCTAGTGTCTCGACTAGATTTTGAAATCCAGGATCAGAAACTATCGACATAGGCTGGAGGTCTGTGATAATCATTGACATTACTGCTTTATCTAGCTTCTGTTTCCTGGCTGAGTCTTTAGGATAAGGAGTTGTACTTGACAGTGTCTGAGCAAGAGTAGGTTGAAGATCCACTGTTGTCTTCCTTCGTTTCTCTGTTGAAGCTTTCATTTCATCCATACACTCTTGATGCTCCTTTCCATGCTTTGTCTTGAGGTGTTTCAAAAGATTGCTAGTGTTCCCACATGATTGCTTTATTTTTGTTTTGCAACCTTGCACTAAGCATACAGCATACTCTGGATCATCTGCTTTTTCAAAATGATTCCATACAGAACTCCTAGTTCTTTTAGTAGCCATGCGGATTCAGCCGTTATTTTAATTTTTGATTTTGAATTATAATTTTAATAAATTTTAATAAATCAATGGTTAATTAACAATTATTATTGTTTAAGTGGGTGCGGTTTCATGGTATCGTTTCAGTTCGGTTCCAAGTTCTGTACTCGATACTGCCTAGCTGGCACTGGTATCGAAGGTATCGAGTATTCAGGTATCGGTATCGAGCATCACTAGTATAAAGATTTTTTGCAATCTCTGTTATCACTTTCAAGATGGCCGACTCTTCTGGCAAATTACTAATGTTACTATTTCTCTGTCAAAAAGGCTTGTGTGTCTCTCAAAACGTTATACTACCATTACCAAGGGATAAGGAAGCCACTACTTTCATTTTGATTAACACTTGATGATGCTATCACAATAAATTGCCAATGACAGCCCATTTTCCACTTGTGTACCTCTGCTGGCAAAGGTAGCTTGCAGTATATGGATTTAACCATATTGTGATCTACCATCTTTTATGTTTATATGAGGATAGGACCAAAAGAACTTATTTAGACCTTTCCACTTCATGATACATCCGGAAAAGTACTTTTTCGAAGGCCAGAGGTTCTGCGCGAGTCAATTAATTGATGCACTTCCTTGACAACCATTGCTATCCGCCATGTTGGGTGTCTGAGAGCGCAATAATTAGCATGCGGGTGTAGCACTACAATGGTTCTTTTATCAGAATATGCAGCTAGCTTACCTCGTGCTGAAAAGAGTAAATATATAAATAAATTGGAGAGATGTAGAATGGAGAAAGACCCATATGTTGTGCAGGATGACTGGCACACAGAATGTGATAGGCTTCCAGACTTGGGTTGGCATAACATCACATCTTACATGGTGTGTACTCCTAGTCCATACACTAAGGAGTCCATTGAAGCAAGTTATTGGCATGCTATTAAAAATAACTTATAATAAAATCATAGGCATGGAAA